GCGACTGGGAATGGAATTGATGACTTGTGTTCGAAAGTAAACGGATATCTCTCTGACCTTTCTCGCTTCTTCACTGCAAAGTGTCTAGCCCTCCCCTACGAAATCCTCTGCGACCCTGTTCACAACCTGGACGAAGGAGGTCAGGCTTCCGCTAGGAATTCACGTCGATGACACACCAATTCCGACGGTGAATAATCCTAAAATACTCGGAGTAACATTCGACAGCCTGCCCTCCTCTGCGCACACAACCGCTATTGTCAATAAAGTACAGAGCCGCAACAAGGTCCTCAAGTCGCTAGCCGGCAGTATTTGGGGCAAAGACAAAGAAACGTTGCTGGCAACATACAAGGCAATAGGCCGGCCGGTTTTAAACTACGCAGCACCAGTGTGGTCGCCGGGGACTAGTAGGACGCAGTGGACGAAGCTACAGACGGTACAAAATACAGCACTTAGGGCAGCGACAGGATGCCTCCTGATGTCATCAGAACACCACCTCCACGATGAGGCGAAAATGCTCCCAATTAGGGAGCACAACACGATGCTCTGCCAGCAGTTTCTTGTTGGGAGCCACAGATGTGGCCACCCAAATAGACGGCTACTTGCAGAGGAGCCCTCGCCGAGGCGCGTCAGGAGGCGTCTATATGAACTGACGGACGAAGTCCAGAGGTTCATTAAGCAGCCTCTGGACCCGTCAGCTCATAGACAGGCCCTGAACGGCATTCACAGGGACGCAGTCTCGAGTTATGTAGACTCAAGACCTGTGAATGCCGTTCTAGGCACACAAACACCGGACATTGACATGACGGAGCTCCATCTGCCTCGGGAGACCAGAACGACAATAGCCCAACTTCGCTCTGGCTACTGCAGCAGGCTAAATTCCTACCTGTGTAGGTTAAATGCGGATGTGCCGAACGAATGTCCGGCATGCGGAGAGACCCCGCACGGCTCGAAACATCTCTTCGCATGCCCGGAAAACCCCACAACCCTAACGGCGTCGTCCCTATGGACTGACCCCATAGACGCTGCACGCTTCTTGGGGCTGCCGTTAGTGGAACTCGACGACAACGACTGAGATATCAGCCGATCTGGGCGGGGTTGTTGTAGCCACTACAACAACAACAACAACGCTTTGGGAATAATGTAATTGATATGTTCGACAAATGTGAACGATGAATCAAACACGTCTCCTAGATCCTTAATTTTGGTACTCGAGTTAAGGACAACATTTGAAATAGAGTAAGACGATAGTAAGGGGGAAGGAGACTTACAATAAGTTACAGAATAACATTTATTTATATTTATTGTTAATTTATAACGATAACACCACTCACAAAAATGATTAAGCTCGGCTTGAAGGACACCAATATCAGAAGCATTTTCAATTTTTTTAAAGACTTTCAGGACATCTGCATATAACAGGTATTCACAATGTTTAAAACAAGCGCTGGAATCAGTCATAAAGAGAACAAAGAACAAAGGGCCCAAAATACTTCCTTGCGGAACTCCCGAGATCGCAGTATAAGGGAATGAGCTAATCCCATCGACTACAACTTTATTTACTCTATTGCAAAGATAAGACTTTATCCAGGACAGAAAGTGTTTTAAATTATATAACACAAGTTGTGAGTGAATGCCCAAGTGTTTTAAATTATGTAACACAAGTGTTTTAAATTATGTAAATTATGTGACACACGATCAAAAGCTTTAGATATATCAGTGTATATGGTATTTACCTGGTAGCCACCCACAAAAAGTCCTTGGCGTAAGGAGCGTTGGGAAAGCAGCTGTGGGGTAGAGCTGCAGCGAAATGCCTTGCTGTGCGTTAAACATTTTAAGAGCAGATTTCATAAATGCACCGGGAGGTCACGTTTGATGCCAAGTGCTGTTCCTATGACTTATGCCGAAAAGTCCCTCCAACAACACTGAAACTCATAAATCAAAACAGAAAACAACATACAAATTAAGAAATTTTAACTAAAGAAAATAAATAAATAAAAACAAAACTTCCAATTTACTTAAAAACGTCAACCAGCGAAATGTAATTTTTTATTTTTCCTTACATACGCTCATTTTTATTTTTACTCTCCCGAAAACTTTGACTTTTGTAGGTTTGATGTCAATTTGGCTTCTACCTGTTTTTATTGTACCATGCAATAATTACAGGTATTGTCTTCCCAGTGAGCGCATATTCCGATCTGCCTTATTTGAACAACATCATTGTTGCACACACTAAAAGGTTCACTCAGGTTCACTGCTAGAGGACTTATTTAATTTGTGAAAGCAGGAAAAAAACACTAGGTTCATTCAATAACTTTTCCAGTAAGTACTTGCAGCGAGAGCGTAAAAGAAAAATAGAGAGTAAAATTGAAAGCAAGAGAAAATTTTCCGAAAAACTTATTGAACTCAAAACTAGTAAAATTTGCAACTTAAGCCATTTTGACACTTTCTGACGGTCGTCATAAAAATAGAAAAATATACAATAGATTTAAATTGTCACCCATACTTTCATTTCACTAATTATGTGTCATCAAATCATCCTCTTAAACAGTTTGTTTACATTTGAATTTGAAACTGTAGTGTCGTGAGATCAAAAGGCGATGAAATATAATAGTGCCGGATGGCCTGGTAACAACTATTTATTTCTGTAGGAAAAAATGTACATGAATTTAATACAACATATAAAATGACCAAATTTACGAACACTACAAATATACTCACCGCAGTTTGCGCCCTTCCTCTGCTATATTCACGACACTACTAAATTTATCATTCGCAAGTGCAGCGAATGGAACAAAAGGAAGTTCGAAAACAGCGATGAGCTTACATCG